GCCCAACCACGCCCAAACTCAGGTCACTCGTGGACCTCCCGGAGATCTTTCGTTTGAGCCAGGTCCCAGTTCTGTCACTTTTGTGGTTCAAAAGTTAGGGTCCAAAGTGTGTTTTTGGCACTTTTCGGCACCAGTGCCACTCGGTTTGTGCCAAATAACTCGGAACAGAAAGGCGGTACCCTGGTGCAAACGAAGGTTCTCAGTTACCCCACTAAATTTGGCACAGTTTGAGCCTATTCGGCCGTCTGTACCTCTTGTCACCTTTTTGCCCCGTTAGTTTGAAAATCGGCGAAAAAGTGCCAAAATCGCCTCTTCTGACGTCACTGTGACGTAGGTGCCACGCCCAATCCGAGTGCCGTTTTTTGCAAGAGGAGCGCCCCCACTAGCTCTACGACCTCCCGCAAACCCCGTTTCGATACCCCTTTTCGTTTTCGAGTTATTCACGAAAAACCTGTTTTGGCCGTTTTTTGCCCTATACCCTGACATGTGTTTTTTGGGGTTTACCCCGCCTTACCCCTTTACCCCAACTCTCAGATTTCGTATTCGACTAGGGGCCTTTGTCATTATTTTGTTTTTTTTTGGAATTTTTCGATTCCCACGTGCCGTTCAAAAGTTATTCGCAAAAAACACTTTTCCAAAATTTCTGCCATGAATATAAAGACAGCTGCTTAATCAACACACCACTCCCTACTACTCAAAAAAACCTCCCTAGGGTATAAAAAAGGGGGTGGGGGGAGGAGGGAGTGGTGTGAACCCGCAACTGTCTTTGTGCTGTCACAAGAGAAGTGGACCCTATTATAAACCGGGTATCAGAGAGTTTTTATTAAATTCAAAAAAAAGTCCTCTCCCCCCTTCAAATTTTCCCCTCCCCCCTTCCCTACCCCTTACTCTCCCCTCCAACAACCAATGTGTACCCCTACCCCATCCAGGAAGTAGGATCTATAAATACAGCGTTGCAATGAGAACCCTTGAAGAAGCTGCTATCTGCCTGTAAAATGGGCCTAATGTAAACAAATGGGCCTAAATGTATAGGAAAACCCTATAGGAAATGTACCCTCTTACTCCAAAAAGTAGGCAGAAGGATCGAAATTTACTTCCGTTTGTTTCGAACCATAAAAATACCTGCTATTTGCCTATTAAAGTGAGCTAAAGTAAACAAAGAAGCAAATGGGCCTATATGAAAATCCTATAACAAATGCACTATATACTGTATATACTATATACTGTATAGGAACTTTAAAGTGGCTATATAGGACACAGTACTGAAAAGTGCCAAAACTTCAGCCGGTCATAGTGACATCATTACTAGGTGATACCCCATAACCAATACCACCAATCGATTTGTCTTGACGTCTCTATCAAAAAATCTAACAATGAGATGTTGCCCCCACCTAATCTGGTTCAGACTGTTACTATATTATATAAATAAATGTTCAAAAGTCATACAAACAAAATTGTAGTGAATGACAATACTGCGGCCCCTGCCCCTGAAACAATTTTTGCAGTAAATCTTTTTTAATAATCATTAAGGAAATATGAAATATCCCACAATCATAAAATATTTATAGTTATATTATCAATGTTTGCCACATCATTGCAATGTTCAGATTGAAAGAATAAGTTCCAAGAAAATAATTACAGTTTGTCTTTCTCAGTTGAAAATCATGAACAAATTCACTTAAACATGTATTGAAATACGTATCAGAGTATAAATGTGAACCAATTCTTTTTCTATGTATGAATATGTATCAATAAAACAATACTCAAAACTGAATTGAAATCAAATTTTCTGGCCAACTGACAATAAAAGTCATTTCCATAGATAAAATCAGCCAAAATGAAAGAATAGCCAGACCCAAGAAAATTATTTAAGTTTTTCTTTCTCAGTGGAAAATCATGAACAAATTCACTTAAATTTGTATTGAAATACGTCAGAGTATAAATGTGAACCAATTCTTTTTCTATGTATGAATATGTATCAATAAAACAATACTCAAACTGAATTGAAATCAAATTTTCTGGCCAACTGACAATAAAAGTCATTTCCATAGATAAAATCAGCCAAAATGAAAGAATAGCCAGACCCAAGAAAATTATTTAAGTTTTTCTTTCTCAGTGGAAAATCATGAACAAATTCACTTAAATATGTATTGAAATACGTATCAGAGTATAAATGTGAACCAATTCTTTTTCTATGTATGAATATGTATCAATAAAACAATACTCAAACTGAATTGAAATCAAATTTTCTGGCCAACTGACAATAAAAGTCATTTTCATAGATAAAATCAGCCAAAATGAAAGAATAGCCAGACCCAAGAAAATTATTTAAGTTTTTCTTTCTCAGTGGAAAATCATGAACAAATTCACTTAAATATGTATTGAAATACGTATCAGAGTATAAATGTCAACAAATCCTTATTTCTATATATTAATATGTATCGAAACATTACTCCAAATTGAACTGAAATCAAATATTCTGTCCAACTGACAATAAAAGTCATTTGCATGGATAAAATCAGTCAATGGTAGAATATGTATGTCCTTGATCAGTACAATGTTCAAAACTGCATAAAATCATGGCCCAAATGACAACTAATTCTTGAAGGCATTTAGGTAGACAGACTCAGGAACACCTAAGAATAAGAAAATATAAGTTTCATAAACACAAAGCTCTCATTGAAAAATGTATATACTTAAAAAATGGCAATTAATTAACCCAAAATCTTTTATCCTTTAATAACTATAGAGAAATTATCTGCTCTATGTCTTGATATGTAGGAAATAATACTAAAGAGCCAACAGAAATCTGAAAATATTTCCAATCCATAATATATACATGTTATTATTATGGGCAAATTCTTATAGATGTATTAGGAATAGAAAGATCTTAAATTTATGTTTTTGCTCAGAAAAAATTCATTGTAAATTTGTGAAATATTTCAATTACATGAAACTGAATAAAACCACCCTCCTAATTAGCCAAAAAGCTTTTATCCTTTAATAACTATAGAGGAATTCTCTACTCTATGTGTTGATAAGTAGGAAATATTACTAAAGAGAAAACTGAAATCTGAATAATTAAATAATTAAAACTGAACTGCCCCCTTGAAATTAGAGCAAGCATGTTTAACTGATTAGCAAGCGTGAAAAGGCAATCAACAGACAGGAGGGTCAGGGGGTGACCGATCTTGAAAGCAAACAATTGCTTCTACTACTTACGAAATGTTTAAATGTGTTAAGCAAACAAAAAGGATAAACTTACATCAATTTGTTCATCTTTCACGTATTTCCCCCCATAGATACGAAGCCGGTCAGTCGGTTGAATGAAGAGCCGATGAACTCGCAGCCAAAAAACAAATCACGCCGTCTTGTTGCGATCCGTACATAACTGGTAATGAAATGAAATCCCATCAAACAAACGGTCGGTTTAGATGTTATAAAGAACTATCTCATTGCTCTGTGTGTCAACTACAATCATTTCCTTCGTATGAATCAAGATAGGAAAGCAATTTATCTGCTGCAGTCCGAAAACCTCCTAACAACCATGTAGGTCTGCAACGGTCGCATCGAATTCCAATTGCAATTTCGAACTCCAAAAGTACCTGCTGTCTGGCAATGATATTGGTAACTGATATTGTGTTAACACGTTTATTGTTCAGTTGACTTGCGAACGGAAAAGATTACAACTATTGTTTTAACAACAAAGGAAAGCAATTGAGCACAACATTGAAAGAATCCTTTGATTCGAGCAACAATATAGCCAGCCAGGCCACACGGATTACGGACATTGAAGCCCCTGTCCTCGAAAACATTTCAATTTTGAGGTTTAGCGATAAATTATTTTAAACTTAGAGAAAAACTTACCAACAGAACAATATTGTTTGCAGAAAAGTCCAGGAACATCTAGAGAATAAAAAGCAGATTAATAACCTCTTTACATCTATACCAACTAGACGCACATAAAAACATACAGTGGCTTAAGTTGTGACGTCATTTTGCCGAGAAGACCACACCCAACTTAAAAAATAATTAAAACCCGATGAAAAAATCCTAATAGTAAGACGTTGCCACCTTATATGGCTCAGACTTTTTCTATATTATAAGATTAAATGTTAAAGAGTCAAACAGAAAGAATTATAGTCAATCAAAATATACTGCGACCCCTGCCCCCGAAACATTTTTGTTGGAAACTTGCGATTGAAAAATGATTAAGATTCGTTAAGAAAAAAATGTAATATCTCACCATCACAAGACACGACTTTACACGAATCTGTACCCCAACTGTTGCTTCTAAAGAAAGGTATAAAGAATTCATGTCAAAAATATATTGGCATATTAAAGGTAAGGTTGATGTTGCCGGATGCATTGGTTGAAAAGCCCAAACACCACGTCAAGGGGCATCCGTCGTTTGAGTATTCCTTTTTTCTGGAGGTTGCGATTGGCGAATCGAAAAGTTTTTTAATCAATGTAAATTTTGGATAAATTCATCGGAAAGTAATGAAACTAATTTTTAAGTGTGCAATTCTCCAGCAGAAAAGGACGACATATTTCCATAGGCAACATCGAGAAACATGCCGAAGCGTAACTGATAGTAACATATAAAGTGCAGTCATGAATGAATACATAGTTGCCGAAATGATTGAAGAGATCAATATTGAAAACAATTCATTGTTAAGCAAGTATGAAGAAAATATCATTGGAAAAAATTGAAAACTAAGGTGAAAAATCATCCAAACGCGATGATGCGGTGCTTCTAAAACAATGACAATGGATTTCAAGATAAAATAAAGTTCATCAATGAAAAAGACAGTTGTATATAATAAATAAAGTATAAAAGTTATGAATCATTGAAACAAACCAGTCGTATTAACTTTGTATTATCATAAAAATTTTCTACTTTTAGTCATCACTTCTTCCAGATTTTTCCGAAGTTCTCCTGCTTGTTCCCCCGCACAGAGCCATGAATAGAGAGAGTGGTAAGAAGTGGTAAGCTTGTTACGCCCACTGGGTAAACAGTACTGCAAAACTGCAAAAACAATCATAACTGTAGACAAGTTTCATAGTTAGTGGTTATCTCAAAATTCATCATGCAATATCTCTTTCCAGCATGCAATCCACAGTTACGTACGTATTGGTACCTTTCGCCTGCAAAATGACACAGTCACAATTTAAGCAAATAGAATGCAGAGAAATTATAGGGCCTGACCATATCATTCTACATACAACGCCGTATCATATGTAGAACGTCGTCTTTGATTGCCCTTACCGCAGTGACAGCTGAGTGCACATCTTTCATAGTTTCTCTGTTCTTTCAGTTTTATAAAAAGATGAATAGCTTGTTGATATCAATACCATCCAATGTTTATAATTATGAACGACTTGACAGTAACTCGCCGATACTGCCAATGAAGGATGCTCTATCATTAGTTGCTCGATTTCAGGACGGCAACAAAATATAGAAAGTCATGATACATAGCTTCAGGTCTTTCAGCACAAGTTCTCCAGCCAGTTTTGCTACTTAAGGCAAGCTGACACTTCATTTCACTCTCTGTTCTAGGATTGACTATTCAAAGACCCAGCCCAGTATTGTCTCTTCTTTTATGTGTTCAGCTGAGTTCATCATCACTTTAGTCACAATATATCATGGATAATTTTCATAGTTTTTTATAAGTTCAAGTATGTTTAAAATAATCTTACAATCATTCTGTTTGATATGAAATTCTATCTCAATCCATTCAATAAATGTGAATAATTTCTAAAACTAAAAACATATTAAATTTCGTTACTTTTGTACATTTGTCATCTGAGAATAATTATATCTACAAGATACAATGAGAGCTTTGAATCAAAGTACATCAAGATCAATGCTCCTCCCATAATTAAATGAGTAAAGAGGCTAAAGGTATTACTCAACATCTATTAATTCCAATGCATATTATCTTATTTGACATATTCACGTTTTACATAGGGGCTGTGGTGTATAAATAGAAAGATGTTTCATAATTAAATGAGCTTATTAAAACCAGCGTCTTCAAAGCAACCTCTATAGTTGATACCTTTTTAAGGAGTCGCCAAAGATGTGCCATTACAAAAAGCCTAGTGTGTTGCATGTTGCTTTAGCAAAACTCATTTGGAGCCCATTTGAAAAATTTATAGAATATAGTTTTCAAAAATTTCTTGCAATAGAAACATGATTCAGGTACAATAAATACCTATAGTTGTATCACATTTGGATGCTATGTAAAAACAGCCAGCACGTTGGCTGAAGTTGTGCATTTACTGGAGATAAGGTGGTAGTAAAAGGCAATCGACAGATATTTAAGGGCCTAAAGCCGTCACTCAATCACTTAGGGGGTAACGTTCATAAAATTAGCCATGAAAATGAAATTTATAATAGAGACCTCTAAAATCATCAATTATATAATCATGTTAACTGCTCTTGTTCGAAAAGTAGTTATGACATTATTTTCTTTCTATCTGTCGATTGCCTGTAATATCATTCTCTCGAATAATCAAATAATTAGATATAGATAATATAACAAATATAACAATGAATTATTTGCAGATTATGTAAAAGAAAAAAGATACTCTGGGAAGTCGGATAGAATTGGCAGGGGGCAGCACTAGATTTATTAATTTGCAGGGGAGAGGGGTTTGTCAAGTGCAAAGTTGCGGAGTAGACAATTGCAAATAAATAAATATGTTTAGCATTTCAATTATTTTGAAGGTGGACCCACTTTTTAAAATCTCACATGTTTCAAACTGGATGTGAAAATTTTGATTTTGAGGTAAAGGCAATCTAGGGCAACATCATTGTGAAACAATTAAAGTTAGGAGTAATATACTTTCGACTGAACTAAGCTTTAAGATGAGCTTTAAGATGAGTATATTCTCAATCAAAATGATTTTGTCAATAATTTTACTTGCGAATTTTTGAACACAAAATAAATCAAACCAATCATGGGTATTTGAAAATATAGAAGCCCGTACGAGTACAATCATGCAATGTTTCTCTACCAAAAAAAGAGACAAGGTGGGAATTCTATTCGACAACCCAGAGTTTGATCATACCTCTTTGATGTGATTTGTTCTATGATTTGTTGTGAGCTATGATAAGAAAATATACCAGTTAGTGAGAACATTAGTTGAAGATATCTTGCAAAATGAAAAGAATCGAAAAAGAAGAAAAATTTGAGAAAATCTATAAAATCAAATAAAAATCGATATAAAAGGATATAAAATTGAATCTTCACCTGCCCTTAGCAGCAGCATTTTAAGGAAAGTGGTCTCACTGATCATCAATATCTCGTAAGATTGTGGTGTCCCAATGGAACACCACTGTCAACTAATGGCTCTAGATCCCGCTTATAAGCAAAGAAAATTCAATGCTCATATGAATATACACTTTATTGGCCTAGAACCCAATGATGCACGTGTATAAGGCTTAGTGGTAGCCATCAAATGATGGACTACCGGTTGGGCTCAGGAGAACAGTTGTTCTAAATCTTGTTAGTAGGCCGTCGGGATCGTGGTAAAACAAGAATTATGAGTGAGCCATAGTTGAAAATCATGATCATTGTTGTTCTCTTCGGAGTCCACGTGCATAAATCTTCTTTATTCACGTGGGGGTTCAGCTCCCAAGACTTGTTCAATGTTGAACATATTGGTTGTGGGAACCAGATCCTCATGTGGCTCTGCCTTTAGTAATGCTGTGAAATGAGCATGACTGAATAAGATAGTCAACGGCGTGCGCCCGTCATAGGCATCCCTTAACGGAGGATAAAGCCAATGTTGCATCGTTCCGTGAGAATGTATGTTGAAATGGTCAACTAATTCTTCGAAACTCGCATCGTCAAAGTGATATATTTGTGTGCCTCTCATCAGAAAAGACTGGTAATAATATATGGGCCGGTTGAGCAACTCGGCGAGGGCAAGCAGTGCAAAATCACCACAATACTCATGCAGCCCTTTGATTTCGTTCACATATTCCTGGTATGTGCGTTCAAAGCCGAATTGATGTTGCAGCTGTCTGAAATGTTGCTCATTCTTGTAAACGTTGTACAACGTTATCTGTCTCATGAACTTCGCAATGTCAATTGTTTCGCGATGAGGGAACAGCTGCTTCCAGATGGAATAAAACAGGCAGCTTCCATCACCGACTGTCTTCACTGCTCGCAAGTACCCTTGAAGCACAGGGTGGAGTAGTACTTGTTGCTGGTAGTCAATCGGTCTGTAAGGGAGATCAATATACATTAGTACATCAATGCCACGCAGTATATCAATGATTGCATCAAACTGAGCACTGTATTGTAAATACGTGTCTACTGATGCATGTAAAGGAAAGTTTATAGCATTCCAAAGAGCTTGAAGGTTGTGGTGGTCGCCAAATATCTCAGATATTTGCCGCTCCCTTGTACCCTCATTGCCTTTTTTGGACTTCTTCGTCTTAGATGGTGGTCTGCTTGAAGTAGACTGGTCCGCCGGCTCCTTCTGACCTGCATTACAGGTTTTCGGTTTTTTAGGTGGCACTGGCGGATGTCTGTCCATCTTTTTCCAAGGCCTCTTGGAATTCTTTTTGTCTTTAGGAGATTCAGGGGGTCGCATAGGGTATTCTGGCTCAACTGAACTGTCGCCATCCCGATCAACCCGTATTTCATCCTTTCGCTTCATCCATTCGAGCAGGTCTCTGTAGAATGGTTTGAGAAGCACTGCACCTGGATCGTAGTCGAGCAAGTGAAGGTTGTCTAGCGACTTGACTCTTGACAGAGCAACGTACGCCTGGCCGCTGGCAAAGAAGTTCTTGTTCAGCAATATGTATGCCTTCTCAAGCGTCATACCCTGAACTTTGTGAACGGTCAAT